TGTTTTTCAATTGACAAAAAAAACTGTGGTCAGAAAGGCAAACCAATTTCGATCTAATCTGTGCATAAAGCGTTAGCAAAAAGAACACGGTCTTCAAAGAATATTTTATTATATATTTTCTGTATTACATCGTTTGTACATTATTAATTGTATCGCAGTTACGTTTTGAACATCGACATGAAAAACATGAACAGGAAATTTCCGATTACGTGGCACATTGTAAACGTGTTACAAATATATTTACATATCAGACTCCCGCGGTGCTCTCCGGTGCTATTTATTAAAGATTTTATAACAGAATATATTCAAGTTTCGTACATTCATCCGTTTACACATCGCATTATTTTACGATGAACACAAGAAACATCTGAATGCTCAACACTTATTCACAGACAACAACACCATTGTATTCGCCGTGGATTACTACTAAATCTCTACTACTTTATCTCTATAAATATTCAAAAATTTATTTTTACTTTGATTCAAAAAATGGATTCAACACAGACACACACGTATAACAACTGTAAACACTGTATAACACTGTATAACAAATTTAATTACGACACACACGAGTATTTATATTTATAACTTTTATGAAAGTCCTATCGAGCTTCTCTTCATATTCGAATTTCCTTTCACGAATACGAATTTGTACTGTCCCTTTGTCGGAAACTACGTTAAATGTTAATCTAAGATCCTGCGAAAGCGGCATTCGTTTCGCGAAATGTCCGCTCTCGCAGGCGTTCCCTATGTCAAGTACACTTTGTACCTGGTGCCCTCCCTCTTCGAAGGCAACTCCGACAACTTCTTGGGAACATATCGTTCGTCATTGAACTCGACCGGCGGCACCGGGGTGGCCGGTCGCTCGTCGCTCTGGCTGAAGGCTCTTCTCGGCGGGACGTCGAGGATCTTCTGGGTGCTCTTACACTCAACGCTGCCTCTTTTTGCCAGATTCACGCTGGCGTCACTGGTGCGCGAGTCTTTCTTCGCGAAGTCTATCTCCACGTAGCTGACCTGGGAGTCGCGCGGTTTCACGCTCACGTCCGAGTTCCGTTTGTTCTCCTTGTCCACCAGTCTCCTGATAGCCGGCGCTTCCGGTCGTTCTCTCTTAAACGACTCTGGCGGCCGGGCCGAGCGGGACTCCCGCCGAACTTTCTCGTCGTAGTCGTCTGAATAAGTGCGCCGTTCGCGACGAATTCGTCCCGTGCCGTCCTCGCTGTATCGTGGTTTGTCGTTGAACTTCTGTGGACACTCGTCCTGCTCGTTCGCGAACACCTCGCTGGCGTCGTGAGTACTACGTTTCGGCCTTCGTCCGTCCTCTTCCCGGAGCGGAGGCTTGGACTACAGAAGATAAAGACGGAGATAATAAACTTAATTTAATTTAAACTTAATTTAATTCCAAACATCCAGATTTCAACGCCGATGAAAACGCTCCTCCGTACCTTGAAGATGTCGATTCTGTCGTTAAATTCCAAATCCTGACTGTTCCTGCGAACCGGCGGATAATTGCTTTTCTCCTCCTCGCTACTGCTTTTACTAATCCAGGTGTTCTCCCGGGAGGTGCCCGCTCTCTTCGGCCACTCGGTTTCTGTTTTGAAATCGTACAGGTCTCGCATACGTTCGCTGAGTTTGTTCGCTCGCTCGTTAGCATCGACGAAGCTCGAAGAGCGATCTCTAGCGATATCTAGCTCATCTGCAATCAAATCACATGTCAAATAGTTGCTCGCCTAAATGCGGAAAATGCGAGATAAAAAGTAAAAGTTTGCCTACCTTGCCTTTGTAAACGTCCTTTCTCGTTTTTTACCGGAGAGAACTTTCTAGGAGGTTGCCATTTGGGAGTGTCCGTGTCTTTGCGCGAGCTCTCGTCCTTTCTGCCGTGTTCCGTTATGGAATCTCTTCTCTCGGCATCTCTTCTCTCGTTTATTCTTGGCACAGGACCGGGCGATGGACTTTTGGCAAACGTCATCCATCGGGAAGCCGCGCTTTTTGTGATTTCACAGCCAATTCTTGCAAGAGGGGACGACTCTCGGCGAAACTTCGCACCGTCGATTTGCGGTAGCCACCTGAGAAGATCATATGTTATACTTTTACGTCTAATAGTCTATTTATTTACTGCTTCAAGAATATATTTGTTCATATTTATATTGTTTAAATAAAGCAAAGACTTTGAGATTTCTCTGATAAAGATCCATAATTAACAGCCAATGATGTGATAAATTACTTCAATGTATACGTAATTTCAATAAAAATTACTCTTATTTATATTTTTTAATAATAAAGAATATATTTATCGCCGTAAGAAACTTATAGAAATTATTTGTTAAACAGTCAGTTATGTGTACTTAAGTTTTTATTTATATATTTAACTAATTAGATTGAATTAGATTAAATTTATTTCCGATATAGTTTTATATAAAAAAATACTCAGTTAATATTAACTAATCATTAGCTTAAAATATATTAAAAAATTGCAGAATTAATAAAATCAATATTAATTACCCATGTTTTTAAGAAATCTTTGCTACAAAACTGTCTATTTTTCTAATAACGTATAAAAATAATTATCCCACGTAAACGGAAGAGAACATCTAAACTTTCGCAAATTTCGAAAATTCTCATTACTACTTATCTCGTCGTTATTACAGTATTATTTTTATGAAGAGATTCCTGTCGGTCAAATATGTAGACCATAAATGTATAATGAGCGTCACAACGTGAAAAAAATATTAGCAACTAGTTTCGGTCAATGGAGCAAACCAGACACACTATTATGTTTTCACGTTGTTCGGCACGAATCCTTGACCAACGTGTGAATTTTCATCCGCAAAACCATTGACTCGGCTACACGCGATCGCAGTAAAAGAAAAGAAGCGAGGAAGGAAAACAGAGAAATCTGACGTCGAAACTAGACGCCATTGGAGGCTCCGTAACTATCGCGTGTTCAATCGCGCCTACGAATCTCAACAATACAATTCCGATCACGGCATTTCTCGCTTTCGGAAACGTGGAAAATGTGCGCGGTCAACCTCGTGGCGATGGTTCGCGGGTCGCTGCAATCCGTGTGCCTTCGCTGCTCGGTGATGCCTTTCTCCTTTCTAAGGGCGGTCACGTCGGTGCTGTGGCTCCTGACGGTATGTTGAGATCGACCCTGGATGACCTCGCGCTCGACCCTGGAGGGTCGATTCTCGGCCGACGAGGGTGAGGTCGGCTTCTTCACCGGCCATTTCTCGCTTTCCTCTCCTGCCTCGTCGATGCTCTCCTGCCGCTCGCCTCTCGAAGGTCTCTTAGCCATTCCCGACTGACCCCGGGGCACGTTCTTCGGTAGCGGCATCCATCTCGAGGTGTCCAGTTTGCTGGTGTCGCTGATCTCCGTATGTCGACGTTCCTCCACACGGCGCTCCGTGTATTTCTTCAGGCAGTCCACGTCCGCGCTGCGGCTACGTTGACTGCGCGGTGATCGAGATGGTCTTCGTAATTGCCCGCTGTTATCCGTCGGGCCAGCCCTTTCCTAAAGCGAGCGAACGCATTCGTCGAGATACTGATTGCGCTTGGAATGATTTTCAACACGTTGTCTGCCCAGTAAATTTTGTATCTTTTCACGTAACGCCATGGTAAAGCTTTTTTTTGTCATAACGACAAAATATAACTAAGATCACATTTTTATACGTGTTATAGTGTATTAAAAAGCTAATTTTTTACTTTATATTGTTATCTGGTTCTTTACAACTATATTCAAAATGTTACGAGTGATGTTATTTATTTTTTACAAATATTTACATTTTTTTAAGCATTTTCATAACGCTAGTTATACTACATATATGTTATACAGGATAACTACTGTAGCAGTCAACGTGTTAAATGGCATTTAAGCTAATATTTTTTAATGGTTCTCTCTAAATAAATAGGGACATCTGAAACTTATAAGCAAGAAATAAAAAAACTTTCTTCAAAACATACTTTTTAAAACGTATTTTTTGTTTTACTAAATTAATTTAGATTTTGTAACTTATATATTTCGCATATTGTAATTTCTATTGATATATCTAAAGTATTTGAACTTTATACATATTTCTCTCATGATCTCTTTTTAATAATATTAATTTAGAAAATTAAGTTTTATAGATATATTTATGTATCAAAAATGAATCAAAGTTAAAAGTATATAAAAAACAATATGAGATTCTCATTTGTTCCTCATTTTAGTGAAAGGATTATGTATTCTTATCACATAGAGGAATATATGAGGAGAGGAGAAGAGAAGGGATGAATTATTTAATAAACTCCTAACAATAACTTTTCGTCAAATAATTCAATTTTTTCGGTATCAAATATTTCCTGATAAGTACACGAAATATATCACTGATAATTCTACTATTTCTACTAACGAATACAAAGATGAGAAAAAAAAGGAGAGTTCCTCTTGACTAACTAAAGGTATATATAACTGCATTGACAATATAAAGGCAATATCATTCATGGTTCCACATGTCAAAATCGAACTTCGTTCAGCAAGGAAGACCAGCGTCGATAAGGAGGCGTTTATCGGGGGTTACCTAAGTGAGGTGAAGCTTCGCATAATCCGATATGTGTAGAATTCCATGCTCCGCGGATGCGACATGCAAGCTGGCACCGCACGCGCGCGGATTGATTTTGGGATTATGCAGCTCAGTTACTTGAGTACTGCACGCCGCCGCTGGATCACCGCTGGATTCTAGACTTCCCGTCCAGAATTCATTTCCTGAAGAAACAATATAATTCTCTTGAAGGTGTTAGAGTCATCTAACATCTGACTCTAAATCATTCTAAATTTCCCCTCAACGCTGAATTTTTAAATAAAGTATTAATACTAATATTAATATTAAATTAACAATTTGATAAATAAATAACTAAATGATCAAAATAATGTTTAAACCTGGTAATGTATTTCCATCCCAAGCATAGGTTACAACAAGGAGTTTATTCGCATCGTTGGCTCGAAACAATCGGCTGTGTGGTTCTCTCAGAGCAAAATGTATTTTTATATCTAAAAATAATATTGCAATATTACACAATTTGTAAGGATATTTATATTTATTTGCTTATTTATCGTCTACTGACCGCCTAGATAATCGCCATTTCCTGCACCGCCGCAATTTTGTTGCCGGAAATAAGCGAACATGATGTCAGAAACGTATTTGAGCTTCTTGTTCATTTTTCTAATGGCGATCTCAAACGTTTTCAGAAAGTAGACTTCTTGATCCTGCATTATTTTCCAAACACCTGCCAATAGTTATTTAATTAATTAATAATTGTAAAAAAGTATAAGAGATAATTTCGATAAATAATTATAAAATTTAATAATTATTACAATGACAGAAACTTCGTACTAACCAAGGCCAAATCCAACCACGTGCAAGAAAGCAGTTGTATTTTGCTTTTCGGCACGACTGTTCGCTTCCAATAATATTATTTCTACAGAGAGCAGAGTCCTTTTCATGTAATTCTCGATATTGAAGATTGTGTGACTAGACAATAATATATATCGTCTGTTCTCTTTTGATTTCATGTATTTCGAAGTTTCTTCATAAAGTGGATGATAATTCTCGCCATAAAACTTTGCCCATAGAACACGCATCCCACGTTTTTCTTCGAATATGCCGTCTATCGCAGGTCCGTATCTATCTCGCATAAATTGATTATATCAAAAGAGCACTTATATATTGCACATAATATAAATTGAAGAATATACATTATAATTTAATTCAGGCTATTATAAAAAAGCTTACAACAAAAGATTGCGAAAAAAAATAATATATTAATATCTTTATTATCATAAAAAAAAAATAATCAAGACAATTATTTATATAATATAGATTAATTTTGATCTTGGTTCAATTTATTCTTTAGCTTATTCTAATTCACAGAGTTATATAAAAATGAGATTAACCAAAATCAAAGTTAATTTATATCAATAAAAATAGGGGTCCATAAGTTTAGATCGATATTATCCAGTACAATTAAATTTATACAATTAAATTTCTTTTTAAATATATATATCATTAACGCAATAGTTATTGAAGAAAGTTACTGCTTACCCGTTATCCATATTGTTCTGTGTTGGTGTGACGATGATATCCTGATACTCCATAAATCGGGGTTTTTCGAATCTGCATGATATACAGTAGCACAATAATAATAAAATATGGTAATAATTTAGCGACGAATTCTAAAATCTACAAAAGAGAATAAAAACAAAATAAAAATTTATTTAATTTAATATATTTTATTTAAGATTATCGATATATTTATGGTAATTTTACTAGTTCTTAACCGTGAAAATTTTGCGATTATAAATAATCGCATGCAAAACGTATTATATTTTTTAGATAAAAATAGAACGCATCTGCAGACGTGACAGGAACATCATAGGGTTCGCAAGTATAAAAATATTCTTGAAGAAAGAGAGGTAAAATAAATGTATATAGAACCTTGTGCCTACGACACCCATAATAACCCCTCTAGGTTGGACGGCGTCTGGGTCACTGCTCACGATACCTCTGTTATTTCGCGAGCCGTCGTTTATAAACTCTGTGTGAGATGACACCACCATCATCGCCGATAGTTTGATCTCGTCGTAGCTCAAGCATTTCGTTAGGACCTATTTATCAGATTTTTAAATAAATTCATTAAAATCTCAGGACGTTGAGATGTACGAGGAGAAAAGGTGATATTATGAAATTTTATCTTGTTTTTAACATCCTATAAATTTCCAATATCGGTAAATGTATGTAACGTTACATCAATCTGTAGGCAATTTAATAGTCTATAATAAAGTGCAGTGAAAAAAGGAAGAATAAAGATAGAATAAGAATTTTTATGAAAATATTATTTACGAGAAAATTACAAAAAACGTCATTTATTTTATCATTATTATTATTATTATTTATTTATCTTTTCATTATATGTATATA